GTGTGCATGAATTGAACGTGTATAATCTTCATAAACTTCTTTCAGAAGCGAAGAGCTGCGTTGTGGTTTACGTGGTGCTTCTTACTGCCACAAGGGGCACGGCGGCTTCGGTCATCTTGCAAGAAAATGATTTACTTGAAAAGTGGGCGCAAATTTGCTTTAACACAGCACTTCGCTAGTATACATAAAAGCTGAAACAGAAACTTCATTGCTTTGTAATTAATAGTGCATGTAGAACGTTCAGTGTACAGCAAAAACGCGCTATGAACGCGATGAACCGCCATATGAGGGCCAAGCAGTAATCATCATAGCAACCATGAAATTTAGATGCTATAAAAAGATTCGTCGCGATGATATGATGTTAAATGCGCATGGGCTATAAAGCATCTTTAAAATTGGTAGAAAGGTTTTGGTTTAACGTGGGCGGTTTCGGGGGGAATTTCGGGCGGGCGTTATTGAGTTATTAAACGATTGTTGTTATTTTGTATTTTTAGGATAGCTTTCTTTGCTTTAGTGGTAACACAAAACCAATCAAAGAAAAATTTCTGGAGAACACAATTGTTGGACATGCATTGTTAGTGGATTGTAACGGGCTTGTCAGATGGAGAGCACACGCTAACCCTACAGATGAAGAAATCAAGTTTATGCTGAACTGTTCAAAAATGCTTCTGAAAGATGCACAACGGGCTCTTAAGAATAATAGGACAATACCTGACCACAGATAATAAACACAAACGCGTTTTATACAAATTGTGGTCTTTTATTTAATTTCTCCATCTGCAGCAAAACGATCGTTGTTTTCCGGAATTAACAGCCGTGGGTTTGCCGCTTGTTTTGTAGTAAGTGGTTCTTTGGGTGTCAGCAAAACTTCATGTAGAGTAAAGAAGTATTTTTTTACCATTCATCAAAGAAGATACCAATCATCGAATGAGCAATTATCACTAATTAGAGTTTCATTCACGATTGCCGGCATTAGATGTGTTAAACATCCATACGAGGGTTTGTTTCATTCGAGCCTTCGGCCACTAAAAGGAATTTGTGGAAATCTTGCATTAGTTCAAGGTTATATGCACACAAAAAAATAGTTTCTTAGGTATCCTTAGGTTTTCGATAAGAAGGCAGGACTGCCTAGTCATAGCGCAAAGACTTTGAAACAAAGTAGAGGCATAATAAGAATGATCACGTGACTTGTCACACAAGAGGATGGAGATAAATTAGTTCCCACTTCCCACTGTCCTGGTTGCCTTTGATGACTTGTCCGAGGAGCTGAAACTGTGACAAAAAGGACAAACGTTAATGATTAATTTAGGTTTCTGGGAAACTGCCCACCTACACCTCCCTTAACTCAACGTTAACATTTGCGTCTCACCTAGGGCAAAATGTTGGGTTAGGGTAGGGGTAGGTGGGCAGATTCCCAGAAACGAAAATTGATCCAACGTTAACATGATTCCACGCTTGGTGGATTGTGGGTTTTTCTTCGACGTCAATCAAACCGTTACCATAGCATCCAATCCTTGTTTCTCAAATAAAGGCGGTAATAACGAGAAGAAGCTGCAAAACTAAGTGTTGGAGGGAACGTACCGATTCGTTTTTACCCTCCCATATCTGTGTTTCTTCTGGATTTGGAGGCTTTATAGGAACAATTTCGCAATCTTCTTCACCTTGGGAGTCTAAACTTGCTTGTTTCATAAAGAAGATTAAAAAAATTTGAAAGCAAAAACGCGAAAAGTTTACATCACACCATTGAACATCAAATTACAAATAGTCCCGATCGACAAGACGCAGAACGCAAAAACTTAGGCGCCGAGGCCGGCTCTAAATTTTGCTTGACGTCGCAGAAAAACACAAAATGCAAAGACGCTTTTGACATTGCAGGTCGTGTGTTCAGATCCGAAACAGCTGTAATAATGTATTAGTTTTTACTTACGTTGTACACAATGCCCTTCTTCATTCATTTCGTATCCTTTAGTACATTGGCACTTTCCGTGATGGCAATCCGCGTGACTTGTACAATTGCAATTTTCTGAAATATTTGAGTGATATCATTCGCTCAGACAACATGCTAATTCCATAGTTTTTACTACTTTGTATTTTGTTTTGTAGTTGTTGCTGTTTTATTTCCGTTTGACTGGGGTTGATTTTAGGGCAATACAGAGCAATGCAGACGTGCATGGTCGCCATATACTCTTCTCTATGGTATTAAGTCTTTAAGCTGTAGCCGCCATTGTCATCAAGAAATTTGGGTCGCTTTTTTAGCTCTTCTATAGCGGTTACGTCTATGGGACGATATGATCTGTATTGTTTACAATTAACGTCAGGGATGTGGTTAAACCGAATCCAGGAGACAAGCCCTCTCTGCTCACTCATTCCGGTTTTTTCTTTCTTATTTTGCTTAAAATTAGTCACTATACTCAACTCTTTCCCGCGTTTCTACTCTCTTTACACTCCGTGTGAACGAGGTTGACACCGCACAGTGTCGGCCTCATTCGGCTTCCTGAGGAAGCTGGGTACCAACCTGCAGAACAGGCACTATAATTACTTTTTTCGCGCGTTTTTACAAACGAACGAAGTACGAAGCGGGCGTGGAGCGCTAGACACGCGCCACGAGTGAAGGCACGTGACACGCCTCTGTGTCTCGCCCTCCTCGCTCCTCGCACAAGAAAAAGCGTCCCCCATTTACTTCCAGCCAATCTGTCAGTCATTGAACGCCACAACGTGACAGTACAGCATCAACGAGAACACAGTGGGATACTTACCGACGCATCTGCCGGTCTTGCTTTTTTTAAATCCAGTTTTGCAAATGCAATCATAGCTGCCTTCTGTGTTTTTACACTGGGAATTCGCCAGGCAAGTGTTGGCATGCTTGCATTCATCAATGTCTGTGTATAACAATTGACACATCCTAATCATAACATATACGAGCGAAACTTTCAAATAGTCCAGTCATTTTGTGGAAAAAAGTAGGTGAACCTAGAACTATAATTGCGAAAGAAGTATTCCAACTGTTCTAGACTGAGAGAAATGTTCTTAGTAACATATCAAAAGTCCCAAAAAGTCCTAGCAGGGGCAGTTGCTTAAAAACGGGATTAATTGAGAGGATCGGAGACCTTTCCGAGTTCCTTGTTTACTACACAGCATGGAAACGAGGCTTGTCAAAAGTCTTACTTCAACGCATATGCTAAAGGTGCTTTTGATAGATTGGCAAAGAGAAATACAAGGTGACTAGACTAAAACCCCTGATCGCGGTTTAGATTTACGTAATTCTACGTCTACTCACTGAACGGCAACTTCCCGCAGCATGTGTTCGACAGTTTCGCCCAGTCGTTTTCTCTCCGTATTCCTCGGAGGGGAAGGTGCTCAACAAAGTTTTACACGGACAGGCTCCGCCCCGAGGTCTCAACCCTTACCCCTTACCATTTTCAATACGTACTTAAGCATAGATTATCCTACCCATCCATATACTTCAATTCGTGAATTCCCTATCCTTTGATACTGACCCAAAGCCTGAAAAAGGTACCCCTTTCGTGCGGAGCCTCCCCGTAAAGGTCATTATAGTGAATACCTCACCTTCACAAGTGTAGTTTAGACCGTGGACCATATGGAAACCTTTATTGCAGACGCAGTCGTATGATTCATTTCCAGTTTTGGTACACGTAGTCTTATTCGGGCACAACAGTCCTTTCTTGAAACATTCGCTTATTTCTGTAGAATTAAGAAGAAATTCAGTTGAATTTAAAAATAAATCGTCAAAATTTTAAAGGAACCAGGGGTATTACTCTTTCATTCCAATCCATCTATATCACACGAGCCCGCTATCATACGTTTTTACCGCGTTCCATGCTAATTTCTGTTTTTCTGTCTCAGCTTTTCCCTCGTTTTTTCCCGGCTTCGTTTTCCCCGCGTATGATTTAACTCGCCCCACCATCTGAACGTCACGCCCTACTATCTGAATTCCTGGAACAGACAAGCTTTTAGTTAATATAAAACCGTGGCTGCAATCTCCTTATTGGTGGACGAAAACATTTTTCAGTTTGGTGATTTTAGATGGCAGAGACAAATTTGCATGGCTTGCTCAACAAACTAGAATTAACTTATAACGGTAGACAGAAGGTCTCGAACAAGCTAGAAGATCTATCGATCCATGTTGTCTGATAGTTAATTATAACGTACCTTCACATTTTCCGTCAAAAGACATTTTAAAACCCTTTAAACATTTACAATCTGGAGTTTTAGGAAACAGAGGATCGACAACACAGATAGAATTGTTTCCGCATTGATAATCGTCGGGGCATTGTAGAGAATCTGTAGAAAAATTTAAGCGATTATTTTCTTAGACATTACAATTAACGAGCAAGCACAGACGGTAATAATGCTGATAATGTTAAGCGTTTTGTGCAATACCTTGTTATGGCAGTTATTTTGAGATTACTGGCAGGCAAATAAAAAATAGTTTAATCTTACCTCTCGCGTTTATTTTAAAAAACATATATAAGTTTATATAAAGCGAATGGTTGGACAGTTCAGAGAGAACTAAAGAGGTTTCATTTGTCATCACTGGTATTTTTTATTGAAATCTGCGTTTGGCGAATTATGAATAAAAAATAGTTGTTGTGGGATTTCCGAGAGCATACGGCAGAAAAGTTTTTATATTCCTTCCTTGTTTTTGCCTTTGTTGTTTCTTCACGGACATCCCTTAACGATACCAGTATGGAAAACAAAGTTGTCATTGCCTTTCGGACACCCTACTTGATACCAAAATCAACAGTCTAAACCCCTATAAAAGCTGCTCCTAGATAAGAGGACGGACATCTCCGCGGATCCCGCCCATTTCACAGGGCTTCTCTCTCGGTATGGTGGCTGCATATGCATGTGTTAAGGGAAAGATCCTATATGACTCTCCTGAACAAACAGATGTGGCTTTGTTTACTATCAGCCCAAAGATCTAGAGTTATGCAAATCTTGGAATTCCATCGGTTGTAAATCATTTGTTTAATATTCTTACCTCTGCAGAATCTTCCATTCCCAGTGAGGTTTCCTTTACAGTAACATTTTCCATAAAAGCATTCTGCTTGCTCGTGGCATTTGTGCTCTTCGTCACACAGATGAAATGGTGCTTGGAAAGTAATAAAAACTTATTTTACATTTAATCATGTGCACGGGCGGGGGCTAGGGAAGAATAGATTAAATAAGGGCTGGGATAGATTATTGTCTCCTATTGCCGAAAAGCTAACTGGTCGCTAACTTATCTAGAATGTATGCATAAATGTTTTTACTTTTTTTAGCTAGCAAACTGTGGAATAGTTTAACGCCAGTGATCAGAGAATCCAAAAAAATTAGAACTTTAATTTAAGCGATCTCTTGAAGCCTTCATGTCTAAAAGCGTTTAAAGTTTTATAAGGATTTTAAATTTTATCTTTTTTATATTTTTATCTGTAAATATTACCTGTAAATATCATTTTTAGCGCATTACTTAAGATTGCTCGTAATTACTTGATCGGTTTTTATTGATTGTTTTTATTCTTTATCGTTTATTTTTTTTACACTTACACCTTTACGAGCACGTATGAGCTCCTAGGTGTTACGAGGTTAAAAATTTAATGGATTGATTGATTGATTGTCCCCAGTCGACTTCATTGTCGATTTGCGTGATAGTGGAACGTGAGGGGTGATAGTTGCTCTTGTGCCTTCCCATTACCCCTGGCCGCTTCAAGCACGTTCTCAGCTCGACCCCATGCCCGCGAGTTTAGTATATCGTTCGGTGTTTTTGATATCTAGAGGAAGCTTCTGGAGTACTTTGACCGTGGCCTCCATCATGAAAGCAATTGAAAAAGTGAGGAAGGATGGGCAGGCGACGGGTAGACGGAGGGGTGGGGAGAAAAAGGAAAGTTTGCATCTTGGGACAACCAAATGCGAAACTATTCGAGTGCAAAAGAGATGAAAATAAACATGGTCGACGAAAATTGTTTACTTTTCGCTTCCATTGTCTAATGTTATAAGTTATGATGACGTAAAACAAAACCTAATCTTCCTAACCTGGTTTGCAAGTTTTTCCTTGTTTTATTAGCTCATCCTTGCACTTGCAGAGTCCACGTGCACGATCACATGTGGAATATTTTGGACAATTCTTATCACTAAGGCACTCTGTTGAATAGTCAGAGACAAGTTAAGCCTGACGTTACCTGTTTTCACCAAAATACAAATCCCCACACCCTAATTAACTGGAGAGGAATTTTAGGTCACGAGCCGTACCCTTCTTACAAAGTGTTGAGAGAGACATTTTAAGGCAATAAGGAAGCTAGTGGTATTGGAAAATGAGATAAAAATAGGTCGGCCGGGATAGCGACTTAAATACAGAAGAATCTTTAGCGAGAAGGTCAAGACATTAATTCGTGATCTGCTAAGACAACTCGGGTTAAAATCGTAACAGCCCGGGAGCGTTTTTGCATGGGAGGGAATAAGGGTTACATAAAAACGTTTCAACTTACCAACACACTTTCCATCTTTCATGTAGCTGTAACCTGTCTCGCATCTGCACTTAGGATCACTTTTTGGAATCAGAGGATCAACAATGCATGTACCACGAATGCCACACTGAAATCCTTGAGGACATGCAAGTGTCTCTGAAATTTTAAAACAATTTTTTAGGCTTTTAAGTAGGGGGGGGGTGGGAGTGTTATTCTCATGATCCCACTGTGTTGTACGTGTTTCTTTATCGAACTGTTAATCCTTATTCACATGAAAAGGGTGAGAAATGGAGAACGAACGCTTTTAGGCCCGGTGCACACTAATGCGTTTTCGTTTGAAAACGTGTCAACAGAGGATAAAGCTCTTGAGCTTTATTCTCTCTTGAACGAATACATTTCAGCCTGCGAAAACAGCCGTTTCTCTCCGCTCTTCGCCGTTGAAACGGCTGTTTTCGCAGGCTAATACATTTCAGTGCCTTGCCTTTCGTCCACACTAATACGCAGAGCGTTTTCATCAAAAACGCATCGATTTGAAAACGCCCTAGAGAGTGGATCAAAACGAAAACGCATACAAATCGTATTAGCGTGGACGGTCGAAAACGCAACAAAACAAAATGAAAACGATGACCACAAATATCACAGGTGCGTGTGTTTATAGCAAGCGCATCGCAGTTCTATCATTTTCGAACCTTTTATTGTGGGCGAAAATCGATCGATGCGTTTTCGATGACAAAGAAAACGCACACTTTTGAAACGCATTAGTGCAGACAGAGCCTTTGAGTTGAGATTTCTGAGAAAGTTTCGGTAACAATGTTGAGCCAGCGTGCTCGTTTGATGGCTGTCGGATGGAAGTACTAATAACCAATCATATCTCAGTAACGCACGCCGGTGACCAGGTACATGAACTCAGTAATATGTTACAGTAAGTACCACTAAAAGCTAGAACCCAGTCTTTCCATGGTGAATTACCTCTACAGAACTTTCCATTTCCTGTTGTATTTCCTTGACATATGCATTTACCGTCATTGCATTTTGCCCGAGAATCACAGTCCATGTCTTTCCTGCATCCGTGTAAAGGAGCTGTAATTATTACATATAAAAGCGTTGTTAATATTAAAAACCAGCTGACACTGACACTATTCGGTAGTTATTATTGAGGAATTTCTTGATCTTATATGGTTCTTAACAATACATGCAATCCTTTGCGTCCCCCCTCTCAATTTAATTTATCTTCTATTTTTTTTTTTATTTTGAAACAGCGCGCACGGTTATACTCTGATTTATGCATTGCAATAAAACAAACATAAAACCAATTTCAAACAGACGACACCGTAACTATCTAACATGATTCATGTTAGACAAGCACTCCATTTCGAATGGTGATCTGAGCGAAGCGAGCGAGCCGGGCGAGAGCGTGCGAGCGAGCCGAGCGTTGCCACTCACGCTTAACTTGTCACGATATCCCAAGCTTGCTCGCAGGTTACATACACGTCAGAAGCACATCAACCGTGTAACTTGCCATCAGATGTTGTCGTTGTTGTTGTTTTTTTTCCTTTTTCCTCTTGTTCCCGAAAGGGACTGATAAAAGAAAAGGGGGTTTATGATCATAGCCAAAAACCCTGTACCTTGTACTGAAGGTGTACCAGCAATGAAACATGATACGAATCAGCTAATTAAAATCCGAAGAGATAACCGATCCGGGAAAAGTTCTCACCTGGTTTGCATGTTTTCTCGTCCTTTATCAGCTCATCTTTGCACTTGCAAATTCCCTTATAGCACGTTTCTTGCACGTGATTGCAGTGTGTGTTATTTACGCACTCTGATCAAAACAGAGTCAAGGTCAAAGGTTAGCATCGTAATGCATTATCCCGGAAGAACTGGTAGGGGGAGGGTGGGGTAAGATTGTTTTTTTCCCAGGTTAATTAAAATGAGCACATAATATTTTTACAAAAGATCCTCACGAGTAAACCTATCTTGTGGTGCTAAACCCTTTCAGTCTGGCAAGGCACCCTCCCGAGCACTCTCTTATTTGTTCATGTGAAACGCAGGGCAAAAGAGGGGTAGTTGGGGTGGGGGGGGAGGGACCCTCGATTGGATTTCCATCTCCTCCTCTCTTCGGGAAGTTTCAACATGGCGTTTTCCCGAGTAAATTGCGCGCTCAAAGAAAACGCCTGCACTGCAGGCTACCTCTCCCACCAGTCTTTTTCTTCTATCAACTTACCTACGCATTTTCCGTTTGTGTTTTTTCTGTATCCCGCGTCACACTTACAGGTCGGAGTTTTTGGAAACAGGGGATCTACCATACAGGTCGAGTGAGCTCCACATTTGACATCCTTCGGGCAACGCTTGGCGTCTGTTATGAAAGCAAAAGAAAGTAAGCAAGTTAACATCCTACCCAAATCAATAGATGCCAACATTTCAACTCTTCCTTTGGTCTTAATTTTGAACTTTTGAAAGTAAAGATTCTATTCAGTTCTCACCTCTGCACTGCACGCCATTTCCAACATAGAATCCATCACAGTAGCACATTCCAGAGACGCATTTTCCTTTATCAGCATGGCAATCATCGTCTTTGGTACAGGACATTGGTGGCGCTTACAATTCAGATATATAACAAAATTGAAAGTGATTCATTGTCATCTACATTATCATTTTTAACATGCTTGCCAGTTTAAGTATGTACCGTAAAATTCCGAAAATGACCCCGGGGCTTATATTTTTCAAAGGCCCTTTTTGAGGGGCTTATATTCCAGTTCAGAGGGGCTTATCTATAAAGGAAAATTTGCGTTTAGAAATCGATTGGGCTAGCCTTATAGTTGGAAGGAAATTTACCGTTTTTGCTTTGTTTTACTTTGTATGTGGGCAATTTCCAAGTACAAGCCCCCGGGGGCTTATATTTGGAGGGGCGACTTAACGGAGGGTTTTTTGCGTCACGATTTTGGGGGGCTTATATTTGGAAGAGCTTATACCTGGAGGGGCTTATTTTCGGAATTTTACGGTATGTTCACACTATACCCGATATCTTTTCGTGGTGCTGACATGCAAACTTTCCTTTTCCTCTCCACCCCTCCGTCTACCCCTCGCCCTGCCATCCTTCCTCACTTTTTCAATTGCTTTCATGAACAGCAACGGCACGGAACTGGGACAAGTCGGTTGACAAACAATGAACCTCGTGTCGGTGCCGTTGGCCGAGCAGGGTTTGGTGAACTAAATGCCAGTCCTCGTTCCTGAATATTTACTTCGTCTCAGTAGATTCTGGTCCCCGCTCCTACTTGTTCACTTCCGCAACGGTCCTAATACCTGTCTACCCTACACCAAAGTATGGCACAGAAGCAGGTGTGAAGCTCCACTTTAAGGCTAGGCGTGGGTCAGCTTTGCTCTGTTGCAGAAATCGCGCCAAAATTAACGTTCTTGCGAGTGAACAGAAGCTTTATCCGGTATGGTTTTCGTGCCGGCGCAAAAGTTATCCGGTATAGAATGAACATAGCTTAAGTTAGGATATCTAGTAGTATGGCATACTTACGAGCTTTGCATGTTTCTCCGTTTCCAATCAGTTCATAACGGCACGTGCACCTGTTTTTAATGCACTTGGAATAATGTGGACAGTTATTGTCAGTCAAGCAAGGATATCTTCCATGCGCATCGGCTGTCAAGACGAAAACAAACGAAACGAAAGTAAACTAGGTTAAGCTTCAGTAAAACGGGGAGCAAAACAAATGCAACTTGTCCTGCAACATTGCTGCAAAACGAGTTGTAAAGCGATGTTGCGCCTTTTATTACCCTCGTTCAAAGCTTTTAACTTGTTGCAAGACAGGTTTGATTTGTGGGTGGTAAAACGCGCAACATCGCTATTCAACTCGTTTTGCAGCAGTGATGCAAAACAAGTTGCATGTTTTTTGTTGCCCGTTTTATCGTACCTTTAGCGAGGACTCTTTTTGTACAAGATTGGATACATACATGTGAGGCAGAGTAGCCGAGCGGTTAGAGCGCTGGAATTGTAATCCGGAATAGCCAACTGGTTTGAATCCGGCCAGATTGGATTCTTAACCGTGTGGGCTACCATGGAAACTATTGGTCTGGTTTACCAGTAATTGTGTTTCCTCTATAAAGTCAGTTTTTTTATGTACATAGAGATCGGTTGGTTGGGTGTACAAACAAATGACATAACAAATTAACACTTGATACAAACGAACACATTCGGTGAAATGACTGATTGATTTTTGTATTATTAATTTTTTGATCATCTGTTGACCGTGCAATTATTTGACTGGAACTTGCAATTGACAGATTGATTAATTCAGGTACAACATTATTGCTAGCGCTAGTTGTTTGAACGTTAAATGAACGAACGAACGAATAGATGGATGGATAGATGGATTGATGGATGGATAAAAAATGAATGGAAAAACGAATGAATGAACGAACGAACGCACGAACGTACGAACGATGGACCGACGATCGTCGAATGAACGAATGAATGATTGCGTCAAAGAACGTATGGACAGACAAAAACAAAAATGCTGTTGCATAATCAGCTCCTGGAAAAAATATTATCAAACTATGTTTAACACGTTAGAGAGGTTATTTTACCTCCATCATCCTTGAGACATGATGGTAATACTGGTCTTCCAAAATATCCTTTATCACACCTACAGGACAACGTTAGCTTTCCTGGTTTCCTCACACAGTGAGAATTTTTCATTACTTCTTGTCCACTTGAAGTACAGGGGTCTTTTTCATAGGGACACGTCTTCCATGCTGTAAAAAAGAGAGACTTCGAGTTGAATTTGAGGCTGTCCAAGGGACTAATGGGCAGTCAAATAAAAGCCTGATTCATTGACAGGTCTCCTGTGGACAAATCAACCCCTTGAGGCGAAACTGCTTCACTAGAATTGTAACTTATATCGCAAGTTATTGAATGCTAAACCATAAAAGGAAAATAAAGTGCTCGTCCAACCTAAAAGCTTCCGTGGCCATGGTCATAGGAAGGCTTTACCTAAAACTTTCCACACATATCCGGATATTTTCGAAAACGGGGATTTTTCTTCGATCCGTTTCAGTCTTCTGTCGATTCCATACGTAAACAGTCTCAGGGCCGTAGCCAGGAAGAAACTACAACCGAGGCGAACACACGGTCCGTTGTACGAAATCAGCCGTATGAAATCTTCTAATATTATCAGTCTGATAAAAAAATAAAAATCGACAGTATTTGGTAAAATTTTACCGAGGCGAGTGCCTCGGTTCGCCTCATACTGGCTACGGCGGTGAGTCTTCTCAGTTTTCGGGCACCAAAAACGCAAGTTTTCAAACACGGTCCTTAGGGTGGAGTTTTTTTTAAAACGCCGGCTTCCCTTTTAGGTGGTGTGGACGGACGAAAACGGAGATTTTCGAATGCGATGATCTTATACATACTACTAGAGCAGCTTGCGCATGCTCTCTAAGGGATGTTATGGTATTTCCATCGTTTTAGCGTTTTAATGTGGGCGAGCGAAAACGATTCAAATACGTTACATGTGATAGCGTATTTTTCTTTGAAGTCAGAGCTGAAAAACGAATTCCTATTTTGTCTATTCGCCCTGTGCAAAGGCCTGAGCAGAGGGTCACAGTAGGTTTTTCTGGATACGGGATGAGCCTCATCTGAAGTCCAGGTTTCGGGATTTTAAGTAAAATGGGGTCCAGATTCGGGATTGAAAGTATGCAAGGGATGTACAAAGTCGAAAATAACCATCGGGTTTACGGGATTGAGGGAAAATTTGAGTTGGGATGACGGGATTGAGCTGTGCATGTGAACCATCTTAACGCTTTACAGCGGTTTCGCTGATCTGTCAAATTCGCCACGTTCGAGTTCGCTACCTACATACAGTAAAAACCCGCAACTAAGAACCTACATTTTTAGGAGTTAGCCTAAACAGGTTCTTATATAGATGGTAGTTAACAGAATTTTAGGCTATTGAGGTTCTTAAAATGGGTTCTTAACACTGGAGAAAAAATAATGCATAATGGTGTGCTGATCTAAATATTGCTTAGTATGCTTTGTAAGTCTACATATCTTGCACTCATTTTTCTTGAAAAAACATTTTTACAACAATGGCAATCTGCTTTTTTTCTTCAAATATGATTCTTGCAATGCAGCTGTGCATGTAATGTACTAGTATGATTTTAGAAAGTAAGAACCTGTTTTAAATTTCTTAGGCTAAATAGGTTCTTGTTTATAGGGGGTATAAATGACCAATTTTAGGCTAACAGGTTCTTAATTTTTAGGTTCTTAGTTGCGGGTTTTTACTGTATTCGTCTCGCTGCCTATCTGCTAAGCCCAAAACTTTCACCCTCGGAGGGGGAAGCTTAGAAGAACGAGAGATGTATTAAAAGATTTTTTTCTACAGCGATCAAGGGAATATTTTCAATCGTTTACAGAAAGTAATATGTAGCGAGTTTGTTGCGAACTGAGACGAAGCGAATCCGACAAGTAACGAAACCGGTTGTACCCTCTTAACCACTACGAAGACAGAGATAGCAATCTTCTTGCCCGAGAAAAAGAATTTGATGGGGAAAAAAATTTTCATCTTTTTTTCGAAGTGTACTAAAATGACAGTGAGCTGCACATTTTCGCCTCCGATTTGTTGTGAGTAGATGAATAAAACTTACCTTCACATTTAGTTTTTCCATCCCCAAATGCAAGATTGTTGACGCAGTGACATTCTCTTCGAATGCATTTAGCTTGCCCCTGTAAGCAATCCTTGTCAGAATTGCATTTTGCTGGCTCAGCTGAAATGATATAGCAATACAATTAAGAACGTTTGAGTAGTATCGTGTCCATTTTAGTGCATATGTTGAACAAACTTTTGTATGTGAGGCTCCGCCCCGAGGTCCAACCCTTGAGAATACCTGAATACGTGATCTACTACATGTGTGTTACAACTGCATGAGCATTGTAAAATCAATAGTAATCGCACTGTCAATGAAATCACTCACTCCTATTCAAATGAACCAGGGCTTGGGATAAACTCGTGCAGATCGCTTAAGAAAAACCTTGAGAACAACACTTCAAAATTCGGCTCTAATTTTGTTGGTTGAGTGAAAAAAGAATGGGAGGCCGAATTTGCACTTGAGACGAATTATCCGTCTAAGACGAATTATCCGTGTGAGACGGATAATTCGTCCAAGTATAAACTCGTTGCTAAGACGAGTTATGGAGCAAAATTTGTCTGAGGCTGATTAGTCTGTTGCCACGTCTTGAAGACGTGCTAACAGATGGAAAATTCGACGGATGATCCGTCCCTAAATTTATATCTAGACGGAACGACTTAGTACGGTTTTTTGACGAAGTTTCCACATGAGAGGAACTGGTTTCTATATTTCCAATGTTCCCTATAAAGCTTCTAGACAAATTATTCGTAAAATTCGTCTTCGGATTTATATATAATTCGTCTGACGGATAATCCGTCTAGACGAATAGTTCGTCTCTAGCACTTGTAAATTCGGCCAATTTCGCAAATGCGCTCAGAGAAAAAAATCATTCGAGACCATGCTATGACGCCGAAGATCGAAAATCATCGAAAAGTCTTCTCCAATCACAGTTTCAGTACCAAAGAAATAACTTACGATATGTTACAGATGTTAGATGTATGCCCAGGGATTCAAAAACGTGGATTAATGAACAGAAGACAAGGATAGTGCAGAGTACTTGTCGTGATCTTCTTCCCATTTACAGGTTTCCTATTCCACGAGATTCATCCAGGTGGTCAAAGGACACAAAACTTTAAACATTATGTGCTGTAGAGAGAAATGATCTAAATATTTCATTAATTGACGTAATAATGATGATTGATGGTTGATTAAAGTAATTAATTCTAAAAAAAAACAAACAAACAAACAAAGCAAACGAAATAAAAAGCCTTTCTAGTCTGTTGTTGTTGTTGTTGTTTCTTCTACTACTTCTTTTTTTAAAAGTCAAATAACTTTTTTTAAGTCTCCCTCACAGCCATTTTTTTGGATGTCACGTTGCGTGACATCCAAAATGTTTCTGTGTTTTTATGCTTTTGTCGCCTGGAAACAAATTTCATCGCTTGAAGGCGAGGTCCCGCAGCAATCAAAATGGCGGTTTCCGCGTTTTGCTGTTTACTGAACTTCGTTGAGAATTTTTAAAGAAAATTTGCCTCGAGATGAGAATGTAAGCCGTAAGACGTCCAAAAATGTTTCTTGGGAGTCTTGTTGTTTCAAGATTTTTAAGTCTTGTCGCACATTTTGTCGTTACTATCATAATATTTTTATCCAAGGTTAGTGAAAATTTTACTAGACACTACAGCAACATTTATAAAAGTTAAGCTTAATTATCATACGTACTACTGTTCCGTAACTGAACTGAACGTTATTCATTCAGACCTTTCAGACATAGATTTACATTTTCTTACATTTGTTTTACTGTACTAATGAAGCTGAAACTATATCTTAGATGCCCGACCGTTCTTTGTCTAAAGCAAAGCATGTTGCTAGCACTTTCGTATTATTTTCTCAATCAGCTTATATGTATGCAAAATAAATGTGGGGGGCTGTGCGTAAATCTTACCAGCTTTCACTTATACTGTTTTCGTTGATTTTTGTAGGATGCCAACGTGAAAGCATGCTTACCACTCCAGTATACAGACAGTGAATTTTCATCTAAAGATACCGAGTATGTATATGAAAACAATATTCTAAAATCTTTTTTGCTCCGTTTAAGCTGATGTGTTTCATGTTTTCAGTTTCATCAGGAAGTTTTGAAAGCAAACTTATCCATGTAAAAAAAATTAAGTGTATGTAACACTGTTGAACTAATCTACTAATGGCCACCTCTCCACAACCGCCACCTCTATACAATGGCCACTTTTTTTTGCAGACAGTCCATACATTGAATCTTGTTTGAACCTCTCCACAATTGCCACTCTCTACAATGGCCACTGTCTTCTGTCCCTAAGGTGGCCATTGTAGAAAGGCTCAACTGTATTAACTACAACAAACAAACAAAGACAACAATTTTTTTTTATTAACAAACAATAAAGTTTTACAGTATTCTGTGTGCCCGCAAATAGCTATCAAGCTAATCTAGGTGGGAGAAGACATTAGACTAAAGGCGATATTCCACTTCGAGAATGTTGACTCAGAGAAGAATTTGCGTTCTTCCAAGTGTCGTTTCATTTTTATTCATACCCTACCCCTAAACGCACACCCACCCTCCCCCCATATAATATACTCATATTATGAGTGTCCTCGGCAGATAACTAGGAGAAATCCATTTTAAAAGAGGCCAAAAAATTGAAACGGGGGGGGGTTGGAAAATTTTTTTCAAAAGGTTGTGAGAAAGAGTTAAGGTGGTAGAAACCTGGGGTGAGAATCAGAATAACAATGGGATATCTCAAACAGGAGTTGAACCTGTAGGCACATTAACCTTCTACACTGTAGTTACCAGTCCAGATGTTCTTCCACTGAGCTGTAGGAGACTTGTGGGAGCTAAGCCCATAAACTAGGGTTCATGGGACAATTTTACAACTTTGTGACAACAATACTTCATTGTTTAGGTTGATTATTGGTTTGTCTCTTACTCTGGTGTTTCTGGGTGTGGAATTTGGAGGATTCCTAGGTGGTTGTTCTATGTTCAGTGGCACAGCAAGTATGTTTTGTATCCTTTTTAACTGATAGAATTATTTTTATCTCAGTCTACTTGGATAGGGCAATGTCAAGTCGGCCCGGGGAGGGTACTTCCTAAGTAATAAGCTAATGGGGATGTGCCGCTAGATGGAGTCACATTTTCACGGCTGGATTGACTATAATAATGGGATTACTGACATTTTCAAAAGAGTTACTAGAATGGGGTCGCGCATTTTTGGGATCTTGGGGTCCAGAAAATTTTTATCTCTAGGAATTGGAAAAAAAATGTTTGAATTCATTTTATGATGACTGACCTACTGGTAATTAAAAGGCTTTTTAGTCAAATGCATACAGAAAAAGTTGCCAAGTAAATTTGCCCAAAAGTCACTAAGTTGGGGTCTATATAATTGGTCATTAAGTAGACCATAATGGGGTAGGGGTTCTTAGAGGCCAGCGGTATTATAGAGTGTTTTCACGTGACGTCACAAAGTTCAAAATTTTCCCGCGAAAACTCCCGCCGCCATGTTGGTGTCCCTTCGCGGCTTATAAAGTCTATAAAGTCTCTTGGATCTACCGTCATTTACATTATAAAAGATGTCTAAGGAGAAAGATGACGCTCCCCAATTGTCTGAATGTGCAAATACACTTGATCCTCTTGTTAAGAAAAGGTACATGCAGAAAATAGCGTGCATTGGAGTCGATCCTTTTGTAATATTTCATGCCAAAAATACTATACCGAATGTCTTCCTCCCACC